GATTTATCAGGTATTATCTGACCAATTTTTTCTGTGCTATTGTTAGAAGAGCTGTCAGATACACTTGCAGAGTGGTCTGTTCCTGCTAATCGATCTGTTTTATTTTTTTGACATTTATCAACATGCTCATTTTTAAATTGTGGAAGAAGGTTAGGTGCATTTTCTCTTGAACTGTCATTCTTGGGTATTTCCACAGTGTCTTTAACACACATCCCATTGAGGCACTCATCAATGTGTCTATTAAGTTCTTCCAAATTATTGGTGCTTTGCTTCTTAAAGCAAACAGGACAAGTGAAGATCTTACAAACATTAGAATTCTGTAAATCTGTGACTTTCTTTGTTTCTTCCACAAAATATTCTGATGATTTATCATCATGAAAGAGCTGGTTACCTCTGCTTTCATTTGGAGAAATATTCTCTCTATTTAATTGTCTTGCTGCTCGTTTTTGATCGAAAAAACTCCCCCTATAAGGTGCTTGTGAAGTTTTTGTGAAATACTCTTGGTTGTACTTCTCTGTCTGAAGCCTAAGAGAACCAATTTCTTTTCCTGATTTTAAGAAACTTGTAATGCTTTTTTGTTGGTATTTCTTTTCTTCTTCAGTTAGAAATCCTGATACTCGTACACCTAATGGTGGAAAACAAACTTAAAATAACAATTTTATGAAAGCTTGATACTAACTCCTAATTAACACCTTTTGAGGTATACATTCACTCAATAAAGGCACAATTTATCTCTAAAAAGATGGTAGACTACCTCCAAATGCATCATAATGTCAAAAAAATTTTATCGGACCCAAGCACTAGCCCAACCATATTATTAATTTTAGTAACCTGAAGTTTTAACTGATAGCTTTATAACATGAAGCTATAACTACAGTTACATAGAATTCAGTCTGAAAGTTTTACCCATGAACTTTACCCATTAAAATATATTTTTCTTCAGCACTTTCTAGCATCTTAGACAAGTAAATTTTGTATATCACTAAATGTTTCAAGCAGAATAAGCACCCGAAACATACATCTTAGGATCAAAACACAGAGTTTACTGTTGCCAGAAATGTTCTCATCTCCTACAGAACACTATGCTTTCAGATCTATAAGCATTTCTGTTGTTGTGGTGCAAAGCGGATTTAAAGGCTCTTTTAAGGCATCAGAATTAATGAGTTAAGATTCTATTGTCATGATGGTTGTTGTATAAAAAAGGTACTACCTCAATTAGTAAAACTTCCTAAGTCACCATTCAGCACTCATTAGTAAAACTTCCTAAGTAAAACTTCCTCATTCAGCACAGATCTGTTTCACTTTGCAAAAACTATCAGGGTAATAGAAAAAGGAAAAATGCATTAATACCAGTTTTACTTTAATGTACGGTATGTTATTTCAAAACACTCTAAGGTTTCCTAATTCTGAAAAGGAAGAATGAATTTGAACTATCTTACCCATAAGTCTTATCCGTAGAGGGTGAGGAGCAACACTATCAATTTCAGTTCCTAACAAATCTTTAGCAACAGTAAATATTTCCTCCTCAGTAGCAACAGAAGACAGCACAGTTGAAGCTCTTGTTTTAACTTCGAAGTTCACATTCTTAAGCTTCAACGTAACAGTTTTACCCTAGAAAAAAAATACAATTTAAAAAAAGCTTAATATATATGGCACAGAAACAATTATTATGTAGCATCTATGTAAGGGCCCTTAAGCCGTAATCAAGATTGTGTGCTTATCTGTGCGCAGCAAGGGGCACTCCCAATAATTTGTCTGCAAGATTCTGTACTTGCCCCTAAATTTCTGCCAAAGTCGAATTCTCTGAATTGTGTCATTTGACTGCCGTTCTCAGCAGACCATCTGCCACCAGTGCATGTTCAATTGAGTTAATGCTTTGTCTACAGGCACGACTTCTATCTAAAAAAAAAAAATTATTTCCTCATCTGGAAATTTTCAGTGCTAGATATCCTAACTATTTAAGAACACCAAAGTGATACCCCATTAGAGATTCATAGAAAACTTACTTCCTCCTGCTTACTGCTATCACAGCCACACACAGTGTTTGGCACAGCAGCACTCTGGCAGCATGGCCCAAACCATTTGTGTGATTTATCACGTCCATCCAAATGTAAATAACTAGCACTCTCTTTGTTCTGGTGCTTTTGTAAGCTTATCCCTTTGTCCTCCTTAGCTGATTGTTCCCTTTCAACCTGACCCTCTTGAGACAATCTTTTATGGCTGAAGAAATTCACAACAATTCTTTTAGGTCTTAAATGCTATTCCTTGCTTTACCATAAGACCTTCAAAGAAAATATGAACTGTTCTTTCCAAGAGAAAAACACATGCTGGAGGAGAAGGAAGAAAGGGACTGTTTCTACTATCGATACCACTGAATGGTGTGAATAACTTGTCAGCAAGTTTGGGACATGTCAAATTCTTAAACTACAAAACTGGCTATTGACTGGGTCCTGTATGTATATGGGAGAGAAATAGTGTTTTAAATACATTAGTATTACACGATTGACCAAAACATGGCTTATAGATGATCAGCTCTATTATTCCTTTACAGACATTGCTTTTAGAATAAAATATTTACATGCCAAATAACTCGATTAATTTTTCATGTTTCAAAACTCGATTTGATTTTTATCCCACATGTATTGCTAGATAGCCTTCCACACAACAATAAAATGCTGCCTAAGTCATTCTAAACATTTGGATATTAAAGAATGCAGACTTCTGAAGATGAATTGCATGGTATGATGCTGCTGAAAGCATTTATATTAAAGCTGCATGGAATTGTTGGAGTGCAAAGCGTCCTTTTACAAGTAACCTGAGTAATATAAATACCTTAAGTCCCTCTTTCTGTAAGTCTTGAGCAAGGTCTCTGCAGAGCTCTCGACACAAACTGTACTGGTCTTCTGCTGTGTTTATTTCACTGAATGTTCTAAGACAAAAATATGATGAAAATTTTTCAGTATGAGTCCGATAGTATATTCAGTGTCTGCAATCTAAAAGTATTTTTTATACAGTTAAACAATACTAGGATCAGAAGAACGTTGTATAGGTTCAAATTCTTACTTCAAGGAATGATGATTATTAATAGGAATATTTTATTTGCAAAATATTTGAAAGGCCCTTCAAATAAAGAGATAATTTTTCATTTTTCATGCACTACTTGAAAATGATTCAGATTTAATGTCATTAATGCTTAAGTATTTGCAAGACAGAATACCAACAGTAAGTGAATTCATAGAGCCAGCCAAGTTATTTGTATTTAATCACCTTTGTATACACTGTATAACATCAGAAGAAAGCCAGGAAGTCTGGAAGTCAACATCAGAGCCAAGAATCAGAACTAAATAATGCAGATGCTAAGAAAAAGATGCCAACTAGGATAATTATGTCTAGCCTCAGAGGAGGAAAAGCTCTCTTTCTGCCAAAAATGTTGCCAACTGCCTTTGCTAGAGCGTCTTAGGAGGGAAATTACAGTGTTATCTTTTTGTTGTACATTTGCTTTTCAGTAATAACATCACAGGAAAAGCAACCTTCAGCTAGTCAAGGTTGTAAGAGAAATGGAAAGCAAAACTTATAGACAGCACATGCTTTGGAAAGATCTCAGATACATCGTTTCATGTCAACCTGTATTTTTACAAATCTAAGGTCAATAAAATTACAATTGATTTTGCATCTCTAAGTTAGAATCAGGTTTACCTGATTGTACTGAAAAGTTATCCTCTATTATGATTCACATTCTAGTAAGAATGTTAGCATGCCGCCAAACTAATTGAATGAGGATTTCACCGTGGGTCCCACACAGCTATTCAAGGAGCAACTCATGCTGTTCAGACAATACTGCAGTGATTGAGAAGTTGTAAAAGTTCAAGGTTTTTAAGGGACAGGATAGAGAAAATACTATTTCAAGGTTGTTTCTTTCCCCATATAAACTAGTTTCATGATCTCAGAAACCTGTAGACATTTCCGGTCTAAAACTGTCCCCTTTGAGGAAAAAAAAGGAAGAGAGAAGGCAGCACAGAAAGGTACTATAAAGATGCCCAAAATATCTGTCTGCCATACATTTTTCAGCTGTGATGGTACCAAAATTGCATTTGGCTTACTTAAGCTGCTCACAGCTATTAAGTCACAAAAAGACGAGACTAAGCATCTTTTCTTGCCCTCTTTTCTAAGAAAACACATGATAGGGATAATTATTGCAGGGCTTAACAGATTTTCCTGGCAGAACTAATTTTTAAAAAATTAACTACCTTCTTAAGGAACTTTACACTTTCATTAGAAAATATATGCGACTGCAGGCTACTACACTGACATTAAGATAAAAAAATTCAAGCCTTTATATATTTCCATCTTATCTTGTGGCTTAAAGATTACTTTGATGCATTAAAGGCACTAGCAGAATTGGATAATAAGAGAACACACTAACTGACAAAAATACCTCCATGGAGTTCTGGAGCCAAGGAAGAAAAAAATAATGCAAGCCTGAATCTCGCTTAGTGACCTTGTTGTATACGTGGGTTTAAAAAAAAAAATACAATTAAATTATATGACTAATAAAAGTATACATTACTTGGTATTTAGTGATTCCCATGGTTAATGCAATTTTTTCAATATTAAAGAAACATACCGTTCTGTGCTCATACTTTTTCTTTCTCCATCCCTTTAAAGAGAAAAAAGTTAATTATACTTTCTTGATGTAGAAATATTATCTTTTCAATAAACTCAGAGTCAACCAATCATGCTCAAACTAACAGCAGCCTTTTCTATAAAGTCTGGATGTTAACTTTTTCTACAAATCTTGTACGTCAAGTTTAAGCAAGTGCGAAAAGGACAATTAAAAAAAAACCCTGTAGTTAAATTAAGCAAAGACATAGATCAGTCATAGATGTCTTCATTAAAAAAAAGTTTAAAAACCAACCAAACAAAAAATTCCCTCAAAACTCACTTCTTATATCAGAGAGAGTCTGATTTAAAAAGAAAACAAACTACAAATCCTACACTGCCTCAGCTATAACAGTGATGCACGGCTATTAGAATCCCAAAAGATATATGTATATTTGAATATTTCCTTTATCTGAGGAAATAGTTTGTTTTCAGTTTAAATGGTTGTTCAGCTTAAAGGTGATGTGTTAAAGCTTTTGTTCATTGCTTTCTTTCTTTTTAGTGTTACTTGAGTATTCTTTAATAAGTCTTCTGCATATAAGGAGATCCCTCAGAGCAATTTCATTTTCGGTCATTCTTCTGTTTTTAAGTATTGGAAATAACAAATTTGGTACTGTCAAATTTTCTTAAAAGAAGGTAGTCAGACACAACAACTATAAGATGAACTATTTACTGAAGACCCAGATGTTAATATATTAAGTGCTTGCTTTCTCCACACTAAAATCACTGAAATAAAGTCGGTGCTGGCAAAAAAAAATTCTTAGACATCAAAACCATTAAAACCCTGACCTTTGAAATGCTCTTTTTTTTTCAAAATGTACTGGGAGATACCGCAGGTTGTAAAACACCTAACTAGGCTGAATAGGAAGAAAGAGCACACAATTATTAAAAGACTATCCAAGGTCTGTTTATATATTAACAGAAAAAATATTTTGAAAACTGTGTTTTATCTTTTATCAAATCACCTTCACCATGTCAGTCCTACTGCATATTTTTAAAAATATTTTTTATACTCTGAATAGAAAAAAAACAGCACAAAAATTTGTGCACATTACTGTGCTTCAAACTGCTAACTACATATATAAATTTGTAGTCAAATGGAAAAAAGAGAAGAGTATAGTCAGAGAAGTTACAGATACAATACATAATAGGTCTTTCAGAAGTGCATAAGACACTCTGGAACTTAATTAATAAGACACTCAATACTTAATTAAGGCTCTTAGTTACACAAACAGTAAAATGCTATGTTTTGAGTTTTTTTTAAAGATCATGCTTTAAAGATCAATGACAAATGTTGTTGAAAAGGTATAGGCACTACTAAGACTGACTTCTCCCATTCTAAAAAGGAGTCCAAAAGCCATTCAAGTACAGGCAACCGTAAAAGAACATATATTAAGAAGGATATAATAATCTTCAGTTCTATTCCACCAAATTCACATGTTGATAGTACAAATATATAATCCTGATAAGAGACACAGAAACTTTCCTGACAATTTACCACCAGAGAAGATCAAATACCTTTGTGATTTTCATTTTAATGCTATAATCATAAACACCAACGAATGCGTATCGTTTTGAAGAAAAGGGAGTGTACAACTCTGATTAGGACATTTCAGTTATGTTCAGCTATTTTGATAATTATAATGTTATTGTATCTTGCATACACTTATGTACAACTTCCCTGACATGACTTTTTGGATTTCATATTTACACATGGCTGTATAAACCTTTGTTTTTTCATGTTTGACTACTGCATCTTAGACATAAGTATAACAATAACAGGCATCAGACATTTAAAAAAATTTATTAAACAAGAGTATTTCCATAATATTTGCCAATTAAATAATATGTTCAGTTTGTAACTTAGACAAGGAAAAATTCAGAAAAATGTTAACACAGAAGGAAAAAAAACCCCATGGCTTACTTTTCCAAATGTGTTGAGCCCAAACCAAGGGAAATATCCAAGAAATTACGCCAAGAGACTTCTGAGAAAATAAGAGAAAGCAGCGCCCTCTGGTGGTAAAGTTCTGAGCAAGTCACAATTCCGAGGGCTTTTAACATCTTCTCTGTTACTTTTCCAATACCTGGCACCTAGAAAAGAGAATGTAACGTTATAGTGGAAAATTTCCATTTACAAATCCATTACCAAGAACAATTTGAATCAAACACAACATGGAAGATTACCTAGAAAACTCTTTATCTTTTCAGCAGAAATCTTGCCTCTAAAACATATAAACATTACATGACAGAAAATGACATTGTAGCTCTTACCTTTCTAATGGGCAAATCTTTCAGGAAGTCTAGCACTGCTTGTCTGTCAGGAGCAATTCTGTATTGGCCATTAGGTTTATTACGGTCACTGCACATTTTTGCTAACATTGTATTTGGTGCTATTCCTTAAAAACAAAAAACCACATGGTAATTAAAAAAAAAAAAAAAAGACAAAGTTTAATTTCAACTATCCAATATTTAAAAGCCAAAGAGTAGCCTATACACTTGGCAAAGACTAAAATAAAGACAATAATTATGATTATTAATAATCAGATTTGATACAATTCTGCAAAAAAATTTTTGTGACCATCATGAAAGAACAGAAATACATGTAGTAGATAACATATAACTTAAATAAAGTGTACTTCCTATTTTAAGATAGTCAGAATAACACCACAAGCACTAGTAAGTAAAGAGGGGTTAAATACCAAGTCCTTAAAAATAACATCAGTTACATGAGTCAACATTTTTACGATGGTGATTATGCTTACAGTGGTAGTTACAATGAACTTACAGTAAGAAGACCTTTCTTCCTTGTATTGTAGCAAAAAGACTTTTTTGGACAAAATTTAACAAATGTTATTATTTTGTGGGCTACCACTGCAATGTAGTCACTTATAAATTTATAAATATTTCACAGACATCAAGGGAATTAGGAGGAGGGATGGCTCTTTTATATCAAAGTAAGCGTTTTTACAAATTAACACTGGAATTTGTTTATAACAAAAGAAAGAATAATTTTGTCCTACAGCCCTAGAGGTCTAAATTTTCATTTGCTCGCTGATACAACATATCATTCAAGATGGAAGAAATAACTCTATTTGTTATTGATTATCGGTATTTTTTCATTTACCCTTCTAATTGTTTTTAATTTTTGGGTTTAAGATCCCTGTTTGCACTTTTAAAAGCTATGCCTGTTTTCTACACACTAACTTATCCTTAAGAAGACAAAACTTCAGTAAACAAAACTGTTAAAATGTTATTCTGCTATCACTCATGAGATAACATACATGGAAGGGGGTTTCATCCTGCTTCTTCCTAGCTGTTTCTTCGCCTCTGTTTACATTCCATGCTTCCCTGACCTTGCACAGCTGCTTCATAAAGCTCACCAGTGCCTGATACCTCACTGACTTGGTTCATAAAGCATTTTGGATGGCATCCAAACTAAGTGGCTAGAGACATACACTAGTTTTAGTCAATCAAAATAGCTGAGACTTAAATGTGGGTTGTCTGAAGTCAAGACATAGAACTTGACTGGTAAATATTAAAAAGCTATTAAAGACTTCATTAACTTCACCATATATTTACTTCTCTAGGACTAACATTTTAATGAATTTTGATATTGTTCTAAGCAAGGAACAGTGTGAGTTAGAAACATGTAACAGCACAGATCAACTATTCAAACGAAAAGCAGTTTAGAAATCAGCAACAGATTTCACTATGACCTACAGTCTGACAAAAATTATTTACATGATGCACTAGAATAACCACCCACGTTAAGATTAGATCAAGTGCACTGGTCATTCTTCTTCACTGCTTACTCTTATTTCAAGTAGAAAGAAGTAAAAAGATGATGTAACTGTTTAAATGATTAAAAAAAGAAAACAATCATGACGCATCTTGAAATAACTAGAAGTCACATTCGTTGCAGACCTCCAAAGACAGTATTTTTTTTTATAGAAAAGAAGGCTGAGGCAAGGCTAAATTCTTAATTAATGCCCTCTGAGATGAAAGTAGAAGAGAATATGGAAATACAAAGATTAATTATTATTCATATGCGTCTGAATACCTGCACTAGCAGTCAGTTGAGTTTTCTGCTCAATCCTAAAGCGAATTTCCTTCACAACTTCCTCTGCAGAAGTTCCAAATACAACTGAGTTTTCCACTGGTAGACCTCTTTGTTCAAGGTTGTCATTCATCAGAGATGCGTCGTCTTCAAACAGTACTGGTGAAGAAGAGACTTCACCTTTGTTAAATTTGGCAGACATATTCACACCATCTTTATCTAAGTTAGACAGAAACACAATTAATACATCCATACAGACTGATTTCCTTCTTCAGTGGCTTCAGCGTTCCTAAGTAGTTTTATTTCTTTCTATTTTTGTTTAGAGAAAGCAATTGCATTGTTCTTGTTTGAAGACTAGAGAGATGTAACTGCTTCATTTTGGCTATGATTTGAGCTTGGCTGAGATTGGAGCAATTAGCCAGGAGGTTAGACAAAACTTCCAGAGAAGCAAAAGTTTTAATGACCTGTAGCTGTAGCAAAACCATCAAGATTTTATCATTATTTTTGTTTCATATCAGATTGAAGGCCATATGCTCTCTTCCACTGATTATTTTTTCAATATTCTCCAAATAAAATTAGGGTTCTGGAATATATAATTCTAGAATGATCAGCCTGGTGAGCTTCTCATTTTCAACTGTAGTCATAGTGGAACAATGTCAGCAGCCCTTTGTCTGACTCTACAAACATTACCATTGCAGTTTCACATTCTGAGCACTTGTTTGTGTTTCAGAGGAACAGAAGTATCAGGCAAGTGTGAAGAAGTACAACTACATATCAGTGATACTGATTTTTTAAGACTATGCCAGTTTGTTTCTTTCTATTTTATTAATGTTTTTCTGTAGTAACATACACTTGATTATCCTCTTAATGACTGTTAGAAATTTTGAATGCAGAGAGTATAAATATTCCAGTTTGTGCATCATTCAACCATTTGTATGACTACTTCTATTATTCCCAAGTGGATATACAATTGTGGACGTGGTTCCAACTCCATCTTTCAGAGCAAAGTGAAATCCAGTAATATCTTGAATATTACTAAAATCCTGCAGTGCTCCTGCTACTTATTTCCAAAATTATCAAGCTGAATTGTAATGTAGACCTAAACCAGACCATTTGCTTTAGAAAACCTAGCACCACTTTTCAAACATTTTATTCACATTAAAAGAAAATAAATCCTCCAAGTCCAAAATTAGCAGTGTACATTTTAGTCACAAGTGATCAGTAGAGAAAGTTAACTTGTACACTAAGCAAACTGGAGAAATATACGGGAGGACTTAACTATCTACACTTTCAGATCAGCTTATCTCAAGCTTATAAGCATATGACTGGCAACTCCTGTTCCCAACCCCACGTAATGGGGTCACAAGGCAAGCAGCCATTCTCTGCTGCCATGTTTACTTTGCTCCTTGCCCGCCTTCATGTCCCAACACCCGGGCAGCCCAGTGCTGTGCATGACCCTGTTGCAACGCTGGGAAGCTGCAGCTTCGAGAGCACTGTCTGCAGCCCCACAGGAGTGTCTGTCTGTCTGCAGCCCCACTGCAGTGTCTCTCTGTCTGCAGCCCCCAGAGCAGTGTCTGTCTGTCTGCAGCCCCCAGAGCAGTGTCTCTAAATCTGGAATGGGTCCTGAGGAGGAACTTGGACCCGTGGTCAGTGAGACTTAGGACATCCCAATGGCTAGGGACACCTCTGCCTTCATCTGCTTCCTCTGAGGATTGAGGGAGTGACCCATGTTCTATGATTTTTGAGTCTAGATTATGACTGTTATACTGATATAGCAAACTGTGCGCTTTCCACCCAAGTCCATGCCGTATTGTATTATAAATTCTTTATATTGCTACTTATAGATTGCACAGCACTGATTCTGCTTTTAGAAGTTCTGTGCCTTTCGTATCATAAATTCTGTACTATTGTAATAATGAAATCCTACTAAGGGAAATAAAGCTTAAATTAAAGTGCCATAATTCAGCTTAGGAATGGCTCTGGCTATTATTCCTAAAAGAAACACTCTGTCTCAGTTACAATTCGCTTACCTATTCCTGTAGTGCTTTCTGCATTAAAAATGAACCTTCTCCTATCTTCAGGCCAGTTCAGCCTTTTCTCCAAGTGCTCCGTTATGTTCAGGTAGGCTTCGTCTAGGCCCATAGGCATAAAATTGGGATCATATTCAGCCAGTATTTCTCTAACCTTGATAAACACAGAGCGAAAGTTTAAAGCCTTGTAACTGTAAGAGCAGATCTTGTCACAAATTAGGACATGAACAAATGTACTCTGAATCTTCCAGAAGATCAATAAATATTAAAGATACTGACAGTACAAATTGTTTCTTGATATTGTAAAATTACAAGTAGTGAGATATTAATAGTGAGAACTAAGCAGATTTTGAACAGCGTATTTAACAAACGCCAATTAAGGTAAGTGTGTAAGAACTTAACAGCCACTAGGTTCACTGACACTACAGTAACCATCTGAATAAAACTCTGGGGACCTGGAAACTCAGCAAAGTGGATAAACTGATGCCATTTTCTGTGCTCAAGTGTGTCAGATATTACAGATGCAAAGGTTAAAAAAACCACCTGCAAATAAAGTCCTAAGTTTTAAATTACATTAAGCTGAAGTTATAGAAAATATTTTGGAGCAGTGGTTAATGCTACAGGCAAAACCTTGTTGGGAAATCCTTAGTAATAAGTCCATCTTTCAAAAAAGAATCATAATAAATCATCAAAATAAAAGCTCTACCTTCTCTCCTCTTTTTTTTTTTTTTTTAAAGCTGCAGGAAAATCTGACTGTATCATGTTTTTTCCTACTAGTATGACTCAAGTTCTTAGGTATTACAACATTTGTCCACTTGCATTTCATCTTTCTGAAACTGAATAAAGATAGGACTCACTACTGAACTTTAAAAGACAAAATGAAATAAATTTAAATATTTTCAATCCAAATCCCAAGAGAAAAACAGAACTAAAAATCCAGACCAAGTCAAATCTCTAACACTTTAATACTTTACCCTATCAAACAACAAATGAAATACACATTGTTAAATATGCATCATGAAATCCAAGTTCAAACCCATGCTGAAATATGTCGTATTTATATATGCCCTTTTTATTTTTTAGAAGTGAAAAAAATTAACTAAAATCTTACTTTATATTTGTGACGGGACTGAGGCTTCATAAAAATAAAGAAGGCTTGACATAATTTTATGAAAGTCAGGACACTTGTGTCATGTACCAGTTTGACTTAAAATGTACGAAAGACCTCTTTCCTTTTTTTTTAAACAGGCTTTTAGGTATCATAACTATTTCCTCTGGAACTAAGTAAAACTACTTCCATTAAAGCAAAATATTATTTCTTTTTTCCCTATTTCTTTAGCTCTATCAAATCCCTTCTTTTAAACAAAATTAATTTGCATTTGTAAGTCAGTAATGCTCTGTCTCTCTCTCCCATAATTAGTATTCAAAAGTCTGATTATGCATTGCACGAAACTATAATCTCCACATTTCCTATGTACTTGCAACTTCTTAGTAATTAGATTATGTTTCATGATTTTGAACTTTTAAGAATAATAAAACTCAAGAGGTTTTCAAAACTTCTCTCAGCATCACTACTAACTTCAATAGAATTGCCAGATTGGGTAAGTGCAATGCTTTTTCATCTCCTTGCCCAAAAGCACCAATATTTGGTAGACTTATGTTTAAAGATGCATTACCGATGAATTCAATATTTAAATTATCACTTTTTATACAATCTAGAACTGATATTATCGACATAGTCTAAAAATAAGTACACTCACTTTTGGTTAGAGACTACTTTCAGACTTACCTCTTTACTCACTTTGCCATATTTTTCAAAGTTTAGTGGTACTATAGTTAGATGAGGACATAGCCTTTTAGCAATAAATCCAGGCATGGCTGCACGCACACCGAATCTCCTAGCATGGTAATTTGAGGTGGACTTAAGAGAGATTAAGTAAGTTTAGTGTTCAGTAATCAAACTTTTCTTTAAGTTTAGTATTACATAATAAAATTCTAATATAGCTCCATACAGAAAAGACTGACAAAACGAAGAGTTTAAATGCATTTTCATTCCCCCTCCTCCTGCCTTTCAGCCTGCTTACAAGCGTTCAGTTTTCATTAATACACTTTTTACTGAAAAATCCAGCTTACATGGTCAAGTCTAAGAAATGTTGGTTTTGAATTTTCCATATTTCATATAAAACAGTATCATTATATTTATGCTATTATTTATATTTGTGCTATTATTTTATGGCTTATTAGGCTTAAGATTCATGCAATTGACTTCTGTATTCGTTTAACATTCAACCTTACCAACATACTCATTGATCCCACTGCTATAGGTTTTTCCTTTAGCTCTGGATTGTCCCTCATTTCCACAGCTGCATAGAAGGCATCCATGTCAATGTGTACAATTGTACTGCTAAGGTTACGGTTCTGTTCCAGTTCCATCACAAGTTTGTCCACCTGAACAGAATAAACCAGTAATTTAAATACTACTAATCTGGCAGAAGTGCATCAGTATAGATGATCCTAAAACTCAGATGTATCTTGCATATAGTTAAAGAAAAAAACCTCATGAATCCTATTCCCACCAAACCAGCACTAACAAAAAAACCCCAACAAAGCTTTGGAGGAAACTTGCTCTCAGAGAGAATGCTACTGCAGCACTTGGTAGAAAGAAACCACCCCAAAAACCTATGGAAAAAAACAGCTGTTGTGGTTTAGCCTCACCTAGCAACTAAGCTCCTGCAGCCACTTACTCCCTCATAGTGGAAGAATCAGAAGAATAAAAGTGAGAAAACTCATGGGTTGAAATAAAGACAATTTATCACAGAAAGCAAAAATTGTGCATGCAAGAAAATCAAAATAAGGAATTCATTCACTGCTTCCCATGGGCAGGTGGTGTTCAGCCATCTTCAGGAAAAACAGCTTAATCATACATAGGAGTTACTTAGGCAGACAAATGCCATAACTGCAAAAGTCCGTCCTTTATTCATCTGTGCTCCACTTTGTAGGCTGTGCATGATGCTATATGGTCTGGAATATCCCAGTGGTCAGTCGGGGTAAACTGTCCTGGTTGTGTCCCCTCCCAGCCCTTGTCTACTCCCAGCTTCCTCACTGATGGGGTGGTGAGAAGAGCTTGGCTCTGTGCAAGTGTTGCTTGGCAATAGCTAAGCATCTCTTCATTATCAACACTGCTTTCAGCAGAAAACCAAAACACTGCCCCATGCCAGCTGCTGTGAAGAAAATTAACTATCCCAGACAAAACCAGCAGAAAATCCTACCCACCAAACAAAAAACTCCACTTAACGTGACAAAAAAAAAACCAACCCATATCTGATTCAGACAGAAACTTTGTAAGACCTTTGAGTATGAAGCACTACTTAAAGCACTTAGCTTTAGAAGTACAAGTTATTTAAAAAAAAAATGAAAACATGCTATTAAAGAATTTCCAACATTCCTAAATAAAGCTATTGCACCAAAAAATCAGCCTAGAATGGTGAAGAGAAGACCAGCAGCTCACAGGGCACATCAATCTATTTTGTCTTGCCAGAAATAAGGTCTCAAATACCAATGTTCAATTACCACAAAGTAAGCTACTATCAGTATTCCAATAAAAGTCCTCAACTTTTGTTACAGGAACCCATACAAGGCTATATTTCTGCAAAAAACCCCTGCACGTTATTTACAGAATAGACTATACACAAAGTGTGTTTCACTCCAAATGTTAAAGATGTTTGTCTACTAGTAGACTGTGAGCAGTACTGCTTCATCAGCTCCATCATGTTTTGAGGCAGAGGCCAAGCAGGTAGATTGCTCTATGGAGTACTTTGTGCTTGATTTGCTTGTGTTTTCACCAAAAGTCATGCAGATCATGTGCTTGTTCCTGAAATACTGTTGATCTATGAATGAGGTATGAGCTGTGCTGTCACAAAAAAATATAAGTGAAATATTTGACATGGGACTTTTAAGGCCTACTGATTTATGATGACTACGTTGGCAGCAGCATCACACATCATCCTAGAACTAAGAGAAAATACAGGAAAAAAGCCCGAAAGAATGCACTATAAAAATAAGATTACCTAACCACACTGATGACTATGGCAACCTCAATCTACACAACAAAAGGCTGCTACTGATAGTAAGAAGTCCCGATAGGCATAAACCAACAAGAAATAAAATTAGCAAAAAGGAATCAAAGCTTCACTTCACTTGCAGACACAAGGATAGGCACTATTGTGACATAAGGGTACCAGCACAGAAATGTCTCTGGACTGATTACAACGCATTTATGGTCCTGGAGAGGAATGTTTACATGCAATTTGCATGGTTCTTCTCTTTTTTATTTCCCTCAACAGAACTGCTTAATAAAAAAACATAAAAGCCTTATCCACAAGAACCATCTTTGAGCTCAAAACACTTGAAGGCAAGTGAGTTTGGAATGTTCCATTTAAATTGCTGATTAATGATTTACAAAGTCTTTGTTTTTTCCAAGTTGCTTTGAGGGATGAAATGCTAGACCAGAGCCTTAAACTAGGCTATTCAACACCGAAGAGCACAGTATGTTCTCTGAGGCTGAGAAAACTAGTTCAGACAAATTAAAAGCACAAGGGGAAGCCATTGAAAGAAACAAAAAAAGTCGGGTACTTACATTATTTCCATTATATCACTAATTCAAAAGGATTCATGTCACACTTTAATCATCAAAAGCATCCCTATTTTAAATTCTACTTTACAAATAATTTTCAGGTTGCTCTCAAATGTAAAATTGTTTAATTAATACTATCAATTGCTGGTCTAGTAGTATAACTTCTGTATTTCAATTGATCACATTTATAACAAACTTCTGCTTTACTTTTTCTCCCTAAATATATTGCTAACATCATACTTACTGATCAGCTAACATACACATCTAAAGAATGAAGCAAAATTACATTAAACTAGAAAGAAATAAAAGAAGATTATTCTTCAGCAAAAGCAACTATACAAGTAATATGCCAAAGCAAAACACAACCAGATCTACTCAGAGAATTTTTAGCACCTACAAAACCTCTGCCTAAAATTTGTGGAGTAATTCTTTACATGTAAGCCAGACTGACAGGTTTCTAAATTTTCAATTAAGCTCTGTAAAATAGAGATACTTTTATATATGTATTTCTAAGCTAGGAAAAAAACCCCAACACCAAACAATTAAAAAGTACTATTTGTAATTAGAAGTGTAATTTTCCTTATAGAAACTTTTAGACAATTTGAAGAGTAACTTCGTCTATTTTCTTATCCCACTGTAGAACATGTAAGTTTTCAAAGCAAGACAGAAAAGTTAATAAAAGCAAGACAATAGTAATTATTTACAGAATAAACATCCAGGATAAACCAAATATTGATGAAAGAGACCAGCAAACATCAGTACAGTGGTTTCCAAATCTGGTAGCAGCTGCATGCTTTTTAATGTATTACTAATTACTGCTGCATTTCAAGGAGTTGCACACACTCTAATGGAAAAACAACAATATTATGTTGCAGACTCTACATTTTATTTATATTACTGTTCCCACTTTGTAACCAGGATTTTGTCCAAAAGTCCAGTAAGTGGAGACATTTTTGTTCGATTTTACCTTACAGGACTTAAATCAACTGCCAGCTTAGGAAACCAAACCTCAGCTTCTAACCACCCTATAAATAAGGCTTCATCTGCAGATGAGAACATGCAGTATTCATAGAGGTAGATATACAGATATTTTTCTAATTCCAGAATACCTGCCACTTACAGTTTTAGGAGAACAGGTTCTCTTATCAGAAGGTAGTACTAAAAAGAAGAGTTAAAAACTCAATAGCTGAGAACAATAGAGAAGATAATAATAAGAACTGACTATATCCATAACCGAATGGAGTTGATTAAACAATACATAGCAATTATTAAGAAAACCAAACAAGACCAACGTTTGCAAAGCAAAAGGTAGAGGCCTAGGGAGATGTAGCTGGCAGGTAAGAAACGGGAAAAGGGCAAAGTATTTAGAATATCAGACAGAGAGAGAGAAGACTGGCTTCAAGTCCACGAATTTAAACATTGAGGAAAACAGTAAATATTGAATAATTTCCCTCTCAGTGAACACAGTCTGCTATGCACACTGAATAAAATAGCAGTCCTGACAAGGAAAACTAGCAAGTAATCATTCAAAGACTGAATCACAGCACAAATGAAAATGGAAAGGAATTCAGCTCCTACAAACAATTTTAATTCTGTTGTGCCTAGTAACGTTTGGTGTGCAACCTTTCTTTTAACATTTAACATTCTTTTAACATTTCATACACAGTAATTCTTTGGAGACTATTATCTACTATTAGCATATGAAAAGAAAAATAGCCTCTTTATCTGTCTAGTTCAGGAAACTTGCATTTCTTGTGACTGCTAGCCCTGATGATTTTTTTATTAATTAGCTTTAAAAAGGCATTAATTATACCCAGAATTATCTTTCTCATTCCATCGCAGACCACTGAACACAAATATACATAAATTCTAAACCCAATAGTGATATGATACTTATTAGCAAAGTGTTTAATAAACCGTCATAAATCATAACGACATCACTTTAAACTCATCAGACCTGGCAAAACACAAATTTTGCTTTTTTCTACTCATTTAGAGAACATTTCAAAGTAATTTTATTCTTCTAGAACTATTCTTCTAGCAAGTTTATATTAAGATGACACCATCAAAATATTGTGCACTTTTCCTGGTATGTCTAACATCAAATGGTAGTTCAATATAGTGCCTATTGGCAGAATTAAATACAATAAACTAGAACACACCAAAATGTTAATGATCCAGAATTTACCCCAAAAAGTCTTTAGAAGATTAGTACCTGCAGCTGTGCTTTCAACAGCTGTTGTGCTGTAATTTTCTCTTTTAGCTGCATCATTTTTTCAATTCGTTGATTAACTTGTTGATCTTTCTTAAGTTCATTTTCATAAAATTTAGAACCCTGAAAGAAAAAAAAAATACAAAACCACCATATTTTTATCTTTACCTTGTCTTTAAACAACCACATTGGATCCTTAAATACAGAAATAAAAAATCATAAAATACATAAAAAATAAAATAAAAATACATAAAACACTGAGATGGTTTCTAATGCATTGAATTTAATATGAAATACACAAAAAAAGACCACTGGCTCTTTACACCTCTCTCTTCAAATAGCACACATATATTTCACCTACACAAAGGAGTTTAAGGAGTTATTTAGAGAACTTTGTATTTTCATTTAGTCTAACACTTGACAACAAAAATTTTAAAAGAATAGACAAAAGTCAAGCTTTCTTAGCAACACCTTCAAGGTATGAAGTACAAAACCCTAATAAAAATTTATTCAAGCATTTTTTAGACTTCCACATAGCTTAATACATGGGGACATATATAATGATATTTTATAAGTCAAATACGTTCATAATATTTTGTTGGCCATTTAATCCGGAAGGGCACTGCAGAATCAGAAGCTACTTGGAAGAGAATTATGAAAATCAAATGGGTATAAAAAAGCCCTCAAGTTGCTCTCAAGTATGTAATTGCTCCTTCAAAAAAAGGTATGACTATAAGGAGATGTAATAATAAGATAAAAATCATGGGGATGTAATAAAAAGACAATAATCCTGTACGGAATATATCATGTGACTTTCTCTCCTGACTCATAACAAAGAAAAGAGGGCATACAATAAAGTAGAAAAGATAAAATTCAAAACTAGGAAATAAAATATTTTTCTTGCAACACGTCTTACCTTACAAGTGAAAGAATATTTGCAATAAAAGGCTTTTGCTTAACTACTTGGTAAAATCTGCAAAAACGAACACATCTTTAGGTCAGAGTGTCTGACTACTAAACTGTCACTGATACCAAGAATTCAGCCATAGTCAAGCCAGATTCAGGCATTCATATAAAAAGCAAAAATATCCACTTTTATAACAATCACAAAAAAGATGATGGCAGGGCTGTAATATGTCATGTTTCATTATAATAAATATCTAATTAGGAAAAAATAGGGTGGGTTTTCTTTGAATATCAGATATGCCTTTTATCTTTTCTCCCCTATGCCATCAAATATGACTTGCTGAGACTCATTGAAATAAATGAGTACCAAAATGTAGGTGTGGAAAGCAATTCAATACTTGAGATTATTAGTAAGTTTTAAATTTTTTTCCATCTCTTGCAGTATTTCATAGTTAAAATGCCATAAACCTTCTTGCAATACAGCTGTGGGTAGTGTCTGTAGGTATCATTTTAGGGATTACAGAAAAGCTGAAGGAAAAGAATCAATAATTCTTTTTGGATTTATTGATGTGTATCTGGCAATTGTAAAATCATGCACTTTTTGGAAAAAAATATATTCTACTAGATAAATGCCTATATGTCAGTTTTGAAACCTTATTTTACATTTCATTCTATTTCATACCAGGAAATGAAACAGTAATTGCTATAATGAAATAATTTATGTAAATATCATTATCTGGGACATGTCTGTCAAAGTGCTGTTTTCAAGAAAGAGTGAACACAATATGTAGAAGAAACATGTAGAAGAAAATATGTAGAAGAAACACTTATAAATAACAAGCTTGATAGCACATAAAGTATCATCAATGTGAAACTTCAAGCAAAAAAGGAAACTACAGAGCAATAGTAGTCAACATAGGATGCATGAGGAAAACATCAAAGCACATAATCTTGGGCCATTGTGACACCAAATAAAATACACACTTGTGCAAAGAAAAGTAAGAAAACCCTCAGTTTCTCAGATAAAGTGTTATCCCTATATTGTTCTATTGAAACTCTCCAATAACTACTAGGATGACAAATATTTCAAGGATTTGTAGAGTTGTGAGGGTGTCTGTGGATCTTTAGTACAAAGCTGCACACTACTGCCCACCTCTCTTGAATACTTAAAGGAGACAGTCACAAAGACAGACAGTAAAAACTTGATCCTAGAAAAACTTGATTACATGAAATTCATCAGTTACAGGAAGATGACCAAAAGAACTAAATCTGCTTGGCTGATTAATGATGGGGTGGACAAAAGGAATGGAAAGGGGAAGAAAAAGAGGAAACTGCAGCCTTCACAATTATCTCTGGAAAATGACGTAGTATTTACGTGCTGCTTTGCACAAAAAGGGAGCACTTAAGCAAATGCTCAGTTGTCCTCCTTCGTGTCCTTGGGGATGAATCCAACAATACTCTAAAGTACGCTAAACTATGGCCCCTCCCCTTCCTCCCCACATATAAATTTCTTCTAAAAATATGCCATCCATATACATATGTGAGAAATAAAATCTGGGGAAGGGAGGAAGAGGGCCTTACAATACTGGACCACAAATGAAGCATCAGGAAAAGAGTGATCAAAACAACCTTAGTAGCTTCCATGATGATTTTATTGATTTTCTCCTTATCCAAACCCTCCATTCCAGCTTTGTTATCATTAAGGCCCATTCTAAGTAGAACTCCATCATTGCAAGAGCTGTTAGCAACTTTTTTCATGTCGTCCATTGTACTTCTTGAAAACGAGTATCTGACTTAATACCTGGGGAAAAAAAAAAGTAATCAAATATTCATGTTCCTACTGGACAATAACAATAATTAGATTTTGGAAATAATTTGCTACATTTATCGAATAAGTATTTTATATTTATTCAGAAAACAACATACTTATTGCAAATATGAAGACTTGTATTCCTGCAAAGTGGCTGACCTACTGCACACACCACATCAAAATACCTGTAACTCTATCAGTGTTTGGAGACAGTAAGACTCTATTTTCTAATTAAATTAAAACCATTTTCCTTTAAAACCTCCCTTACAGAAATAATTGAGCACAAATGAACCTTTGGTAAAGGCCTTATATAAGAACATGACATTTGTACCTGTAAATTATCCTGTCAGATGAAACATTACTGCCTTAAATACAAAATACTGCTCATTATTCCATGAAAAGAAAAAAAATTGCAATATTTAAAATTAAGAAAACCACTGCTCATTTGGTCATCATCCCTGCTTGAGATAAGCTGTAGAATCCTTTCATTAATTTCTAGCTCAAATTCAGAACCTTTGTTTGTGTCAAAACTCATATATTAAAAAAACATGGTTGCAATTAAAAGTTTTGATTAAAACCCTAATTCAGGGTAGAATTCATGCACTTTTTTTTCCCATTAATATGTTGAACCATGGTATCTAAGTAGTGGCACTTACCAGCCCTTACTACACAACTACAGCCATCGGTAATTTCACATACACGCAGATACTTCTGATATGTGAACTTCTGACATCTTCCCTTGTTCTCCATGAAAGTAAATTGCTGAATCCTCAATAGGCTCTAATTATACAGTAAACTGTTTAGTTATTAAACTGATCTCAAAAAAATAAAGAAAGAAAATTTCACCTTCCGGAACAACGAACTGGTGGTCTTATTTATGCCAGATTCAAACAAGTAGACTCACAGAATAATTTGAGTTGGAAGGTCACCAAGTCCAGTCTCCTGCAACAAGCAGGGACATCTTCAACTACATCAGATTGTTCAGAGCCCTGTCCAACTTGCCATCAGATGTTTCCAGTAATGGGGAATCCACCACTTCTCTGGGCAACATGTCCCAGTGTTCCACCACCCTCACTGTAAAAAACCATCTAATCTATACCAATACTCTTCAGTTTAAAATCATTACCCCTTGTCATACTGCAACAGGTTCTGCTAAAAAGTCCAAGTGTGCTAATGACATAAATTATTTAACATGTACTTATTACTGAAAAAGCACACAGAAACAATTCTACCCCAAGTCACCTATTCATCAGCGACTCATGACAGTTTTACTGTCATGCAGAATGGACATGCACTCCTCAACTTTACACCGCTCCCTGTGACAGGAACCCTTCCTATTTGGAGAAGCCCCACCATTTTAGGTAAATACACCAGCTTTCTTATTCACAAAATACACAAATCTAGTAGTGGGTCATTTTTCCTTTAAATGCCACTTTCCCATGCCAGGACTTTAGTGGCCTCATTAACAAACAAACACAAGAAGGCCATTATGTATTTTTGCATTTAGAGGTGAATTTTGTTACCAAAGAACCATGTGAGTAACTTTTAAAATTAATGATGGCAATGTTCATCTTTTCCTGAAGCTCTTCTACTGAAACATACTAGCCAACTTAAACAAAGAAATTAAAGAAAGCCATGTTTACAAAAGAAGTTCCACCAAAAATATCCAAATTTTAATCAGTTGCTATTAACCCACATTATTATTTATGGTGTCTGCTGAAAATTGGAAGATCAGTTGCATAATGCTGTGTTTATACACAGTGAGTTGTATTACAAAGAACGTAAGTTGATATAGAAATCAGAACTCTCTTCTCTTAATCCTGCAAGAGCACTTGAGCTTCTGGGAATAGGAGTGGCTTCATAATTCTTATGTGTATTTATCAAATAAAAGACTACAATGCTGAACATCTTCGTAAATTTTCCAGCTACAGCAGGGCAATCTCTTACAGTTAATATACATATTTACCAGAACAGGTTTGCTAGATTTCAATCAAAGGATAAAGCACAGCATCCCAAACAACATTACAAATTTCATCTCATGCTCAAAAACACTCCTGTATGAATTAGCTCCTGGTAATTTCATTGTTAGCTTCCCAGTAATTCCATGGCAATCTCTGGTATGTAATGGGCATCATTTCCGAGGAATACTTTAATTTAAGTCAATATTCCTCCACTATTCTCCCTGCTTCTTTTATCACTCATTGCCTTCAAGAAACAGGAATTAACACAAACTTGCTTCCATTTCTTATTCTAGTATTTTCAAAATGTTTTCAGCTGTTCCTTATTCCTGAAAGTGTCTCTCTCCCAAGCATGTACTAATCTTTCCCCTTCCTCATTCAAAGCACTCTTAAAGGCTCAGCTAATAGCAGAGGCTTTAAAAGCTAATTTAAGTTAGTCAAAAGAAAGTCTTCTCTATCTCATTGTTATGTATCTAACAACCAAACAATACCATGCTAATCAAAGTGATGGAAAAAATAATTGTCTATATACAGTCTCATAAATGGTGATCATCTGGTGTATTTTATCTTTTGAGCTTATTGTGTGGAACAAAGTATATTGTCAGTCTCAGATGAGAAAAGGTATAAATATCTTAGCAGAAATTAAGAGGAAAGTATTTATCTAAGGACATCACATTAGTTCTACACCAGAGATTACAAGTGTACAGAAAGGAAAACATGAATAACAGGTGATACAATTTCCAGCTGCTTAATATGAAGAGAGCCTGAACATTATCTTGGTTTCAAATGAATAGGTCTGGAAAAAAAATCCATAAAATATTTAACATATTGAAATTAATCACAATAGCTACAATAAGACAACTGATATACTACTGTCAGATAAAACCAGTACTCATTTGCCGTAAGTGAAAAAGAAAATATTTAAATGCAACAGAGAAGCAGCAGAGTTTTAAACTGTGCAAAATGTGAACAAAATGTTAATGTAGAAACATAGTAACTGTTTCAATTAGGCTAGGGAAAACACTGAACTTGTGGTGACAATCGTTTTGCTAAAAAAATTTGGAAAAAGTGGGTGATGACTAGAATCTAATGAAAACAGTCTACACAGAATGACGTACTTTTGACACGCTGTTACCTCAAGAAGCTGTTGTGACACCAAGCTGCTTCCTCTAATGACAGGACATCTCTCTCACTATCGTACTGAGCAAGCAGGGTGTGAAACCAGAGGAGTCTGTGAAGACAGTCTAAAATAATACACTATCCTATTCTTCCTGTGACTGGAGAAGCAGGAAAATCATATGTAAGTGGAAGGAGATAATTTTCCAATTGCTAGGGAAGGGCTTCTAAAGGTAAAGACTTTGGCAGTGAAACTCAACAGTTAATGCAAAGCAAACTATCAAATAAAAACGTTGAGAAGAACCACAAAATACCATTACTGTGTAGAACGTTTTATGAGTAAGCTGGGATGCCTACAAGTGGGAAAGATCACTAATTAAACCTTAATCAAGCTCTTCTACAATCAGGCACAGAAACTAAACTGAACTAGCAAAACAGTTATATAGTATTTGAATGTGTCAAGAGAATTGAAACAGCAATAAAATTAGACCAATAATTTAATTTCAAATGTCTCTACCGTCATTAAAATTTAGCATTTTTTTAACAGCTTATTGAACCAACCTAAAGGAAATGGCTTGTATTTGATCCTGTACCACTCCTCCAACTTGTCTTCATTAAAAATCCTCCAATTCCAGCAACAGAAATTCCGTATACTGTGTAAAAAGTTAAATGCCTTTATATTACAGTTTCCATGTAACAAAATAATGAAAAAGATACAAACTATTTCTAAGAATATTCAGTTCAGTGAGTGTAGTGTTATTATGTACATTATTAACATTTGCAAAGTATGTTAACAATTTGTCTTTTGTTGACTATGTTAACAACATGGAAGAACTATTAAGACTGGAAAATGACAACAGTACGGGAAAGCTTGAAAAATAATTTATTTGCATACTGAGTTATTGTTTAATGCATGTAAGTTGTGTACCTATCCTCATAAATAAAACAAATTCTGATATCTTTGCTATCACAGATGCTCATGACAATGTGAGGTGCAAAGGAGTTACTAAGAGACACAATTGTCTACTTAGCCCAGAGCTCAAAAACTAAACAAAGGAATCAAAACATATAGTACAGACATAAAGGACTGTCTTACACCCTAATTGTCCTAAGTCAGTCTTCATGATATGCAAAAAAAAATTGAAATAAATGTTGCAAATAGCAATACTTTCCCAAGTGATCTTTTAATTATTATCTTCAAGATGGCTAAAACAAGGATCTAAATTAAATATATTTCTTAATTTCTGTAAAATATATAGAGCCTCCAATAACATTGCATCAAAATCTGATACATCATTTACTATACTGAGAGCCCAAAATAAACTTCCTATTTTCTCTCGATTAAAATATTTCAGAATTCCTTTATTTAAACCCTGCCATTATAACTTCAGCAAGAACAAAGCAAAATTGTAAAACCTAACTTGATTTACACATGTAGAGAATGGATAAAGCAATAGCTTCTGGAATCCTGTCATTACATAGGCTACATCAGAAGAAAACCAACATCATCCATCATTTCCATGACAAGGTCAAGGCGTTAATAGTTCTGTAAAAGCACTGAAAAGACAACAAACAATTACAAAGTTAATATGTCGTCCAGTTTTGACCACAAAGAATCACTCTTCAGAGTTTTGGCTAAAACCCTATGGTGTAGTGCAGATCTCTATGTCCAAAAGTTACATGCCACTAAAGTTAGGACTATACCAAAAATACCAGAGAGAAGAAAAAGACAGAAAAAAACTTCCTTTCAAATATCCCATGCTTTTAGTTTTCTTAGGATAATTTAACCCATAAGTGACCCATTATCAAAATCTACTGAAGTATGGAGCACTCACTGCAAGTGCAGGTGGAAAAATTTCTTCCTTAAAACCATTAAGATAATCACATCCATGTAGAAGATAGTGGTGAATAATATGAAACTTCTAGAACATTTCACAAGCATTCAACAGATCCTCAAAAGCCAGATATTAAATAATCCAGCTCTGTTATATCTTCAGTAAAAGGGCAATTCTGTAGTTCAAGACTTAAAAAACCCAATTTCAGTTACATCAAAAACTTTGCTGCACCATCACCTTACCATAATAAACAACCAAGCCAATCAAAAACCTCACCAGCCAAAACAAGCAACATGAATAAAATAAGCAAGCTGGATAAGTACGTTTTCCTAGTGAGAATGCTTCCAAGAAAAAAGGTTACTAATAAGCGTTCTTTGGCAGTAACTTTCTTCTGTATTGACATGGAATTCAGCCTAGCATTGTAAACAAGTCCTTATACCAAAGTCCTTAAACCAACAGGCAGCTACTATTCTACATCTCAAACAGGACAATTCACATTCACCTATTTGCAAAACCTTTTGGTTTATGTAAATGTAAAATATAAAATATACACCAAAGACACCATATATAAAATTATACACATACTGAATAAAAGTATAAGAAATCAAGTCTTTAAAAACAAACAGACAAACCAACTACAAAGTGCCATCACAAACCATAAAATAAAACCAACCAACCTAAGGAAAATTGTTTTGACAAGAGATGTGGAGAGCTGTTGCACTCTGCTATAAGTGAATGGGGATACTCTGTAAGAGAAATTCACTTGTACCAAAGACTATACTTCACAAGTATGCATGAAATAATTTATCTACTTCATTACTTTTTGCCAAGCACTGACCAGAACAAAAAAGCCGTGCAGACTGATCCAAGAGTAACTGTCATTCCCAACCTTTTAAATGCTTCCTTTGCACTGGAAATAACTACAGCTGGAAGCCACCTCAAAACAAAGCTTCTGGGTATTACTGAAACAATACCACATGTAATAAATAAGAGAGACTACATGAGACCTTCCCAATAAGGCCAGAACTCGTTGAAATAAGCATTTTTAATGGACAACATTTGGGTTTTACTTCAATTGCTAATTTAGATTGAACTCGTAGCCAGGTACTATACCTCTTATTCTACTCACTGCAGAGAAGTATATTCAGCCATGCTGGGCATTTAATACATGCACTGTTTTATAACAAAACCCATCTAACCCACTTTGGTAAAGAAAATCATGTACCTGTAGTTCGGCCCTTTGAACAATAGGCTTCTCACAAATGTATTGCTTTATTTCTTAAATTTCTAAGACAATAACAAACATACATTCAACAATCTAGGAATATTCAACCCTTCTAGAGTATTCTCAACATTTCTGCTATTTCAAAGGTCACACTGCGAACTCCAGCAGTGATTTTTATTTCCTATTACTTGATTTATCCATTATTTGGATAATGAAGTTATCCCAAAGCTGTAACATTATATTAATCCTAAAATATCCTGAATTGGAAGGAACCCACAATGAGCATTGAAGTCTAGCTCCTGGTCTTGCATAGGACAATCCCAAGAATCTCACCATATGCCTGAGAGAATAAATATGTATACAAAGTATGCATATTGCATACTTCCAAGAAAGAAGTGCACCTATCTTCTGTAAATATTCATTTGGCAAGGAAACATTCTGGCTGACTGGATCAAATTTAGCAAACTCTTTAACTCTCATTTCCTGTGAAACCATGTTCCTCTGATAATGACTTAAGTATCAGTTGCTCTGAAGTCTCTCTCTCAGCAGGCAAATCTTCACCAAAGACATGTTCAAGGAAGCACATCAGACTGTCCTTCTAACTATCTGCTCAGTTCCTCTTAAGTCACATGGGGTTTGATTTTTACTAGAGGCGTGGTTTCTGAATAGCCCTGAGAAGACTACTGTCAATTCTAATCCTGTAGTGATTTACAGGAAAAGAACTGGCAGAAGGAACAGCACAACAGTGTTGTCAGCATTTAATACGTATACATTCAACACACATGGTGTTAGCCACATAGATTCCCAGCTAGAATGTTCGAAACTACAGTTTCACTATTCTCTCTCTCTCAAAATATAACACTAACAAGTTCCTTAGAAAAAAGAATCCTGCAATAAAGATGTAGTATTTTTACAAATGTAATAAGCCAGAGCACATGATAAATTAGTACTGAACAGAAAATTGAGCTAGAATTCATGAAAGTGAAAACTCCAGCACTCAAGCTGACATACATGAAATGAGACTACTTTTAAAATAGCAGCTGACTCAGCATTTTACAAAAACAGAGATCCATACAAGCACCTGGAATTAGCCCTGAAAAAACAACGTCCTAGAATTATATCTTCTGTATACTCATTGACTTTAAGATGTAACAAATTACAGACAAATCCATCCTTTTAAACTTCAGATAATTCACACTGAAAGTAAACAGTTAATAGACTGCTTCTGACAATGTTCAAAAATAAATGTGAAAATGTTTTGTGCCATTTACCAAACTGAATAATTCCTTGCTTATCTGAAGAGTGACACAAGTAAAACAAGCGGAATTCCCATTCCCTATCAATTTTCTGTAGGCAAGATGCAATGCAACTCTGTTCTAAATTCTGCTTTCAGTTTCTCTGTCAAAAAATCCTCATGCCTTTAGAACAACTAAGTTTATTTGAAGGGCAAAGAACCATGGTATCTTCTGCTTCTGTTCAGTACTTTAAAGGACCTTTACAAAGATTTATCTCAAGTCTTCAACTAGGTTTTCCTTGCACTTCTAGATTACTGAAAACAAAGGCTTTAGCAGTTTAACCCATAAAGAAAATAATGAAGGCACTAAAGACTTCTCAGTAAAAACTACACCAGAGGTAGTGTAGTTATCTGCAACCTGGCTTCTACAGACATGTTTAGTGCCAACAGATTCATATATGGTTTATTTTAAATTTTTTTACTTAGAAATAAAAGCCTAATAGAGTGATCCAGAGAGAGCAAAATTCTGTTAGAATAAAGTGTCAGAATCATTAATATTTCTGAGCCTATGTTGTTAGGCAATACGCTGTGGTGTAACAGAGCTCCTTAAAGATTCTCCTAAGGAAAATAGTCATAAATTTCAGAACAAACATAATGGTAAGGATGAACACACTAGAAAGTGATGGAGATTCTGTTTTAATAACATAAAATGAACCCTAAAATAGAAGTTTTGGCAGTGAAAAAAAAAAGATATATAAAAGGGGAGAAGAAAAAAATAAAGGTATTTATAGTTACCAATTGGCAGTGCTTATTATGACAAACATCCCAGGAGGTAAAACTCAATGCTCCCCACTTTTTCACTACAAGTAGTATATCAGCAATGCAGAACACTATCTGTTCTGCTGTTCACAAAAAGGTGATGACTTATTTCCACTTAAAACCGTAATCTGCAAACTTCTTGCAATCCCTAAGACACTAGAAGGGATACAGACCGAGTACAGGGGCACTTGCTATGAAAGAACAAACAGCAATGAGGCACAAAATAAAGGTTCAGTAGAAAAGGTATAGAAAAGGCTAGTGAGGAGCTAGTGCAACTGGATACCAGTATGATTTTCTACATTTACTATGCTTTGCTTTACATCCTAGATTGGTCTTGGCACAGGCAAACCTTATTCTTTTCAAACTATACAAAACTGGAAGACTGCTCTTCCAGAGCATACCTGCTAAACAACAATTGTTAATGTAGGTACCCTACATTGATCAAACTGCTGTACTCTGAAAAAACACCTTTCAAAAGGTGTGTAAGAAGAACTTCAAGTCCTCAGCACTAAATCTTTCCTTTAGAAATCTACTCTCACCACACCCCAAGCTTGCTGGTAAAGGTATGGCCTTATCTCATTAAGAGTAACAGACAGTATGCTACATTTTTATTAAACGGTCAGAATATTGGAAAGAGGAGGTAGTTTACATAAGGTATTCACAGTTGCAATACAGCTTTTGGAAGAACATAAACTGGTGACACTGTATTGAAAAATAAGATACATTAGGAGGATGCGGCAGATGTCAACAAAAACCTATTACCTAGCACAGCCAATGCCTTCTATGAAAAGCTGAAAAGGCAAACCTTTTAGCATTCAATATTTTTTCATTTAAAGTTTGTAAAACGCTAGCCACAATTAATAAACAAAACAAATACTCTCTCTAAAAAGGATGGATATGTTTATTGAACAACCTGAAAAAACTTCTACCCAACGCATTTTTAGTTTGTAACACTTGATTGATTCAATGTTCTGGAGGGGGAAAAGAAAAACCAAGCTTCCTCTGTAACTAAGTGAATAGTTTCAGATCAAAAGCATGACAGGGAATATCGGTATACACGCCACTGCCACTGCTAAAAGGACTTGCTCAGACATGTCTCTTCAGCTCCTGCTCCTGAAAAGAAGTTCATTCAAAATTTGACTGGGCAAACACAGCTGGCTTTACAGATAATGCCAACTAACTTCAAAAACATATTGCAGAGAAAAACGATAAATTATTCTCATACATATCAATACTTACAAAGCTTGATTGACAAATATAGTATATTGAAACTGACACTAAGGTGAAAAAAATGCACTTGGTTTCTTCCCAAATATGTAGTGAATCAAAGAACACTGGCTTTTGGCAATATTTTATATATTAGTAAGTTATCTAAAGTAGCATCCAGAGTAGACTTCTGTAAAAGTTTTTTCCTGTACATTGCAGTGATTATACCAATATTAAGATGTTTATGACTATTTTTTATTTCTAATAGTTAAGGAGAATGATGCTGCCTTTTGAATCATCCTCAGTTCTGCATTCATTGTAAATATCTCTATATCTGAGACTTTGAGCAGGTATGAATATTATTTAACTTTTAACTGCTATATATAGAGAATGCGTGTAAGTAGATGTATCAATGCTCTTTCAATAAAAAAAAAAAACGCTCAATGGAAACTTTCAAACAGCCTAGCACGGGAAAATTACACAATGATTTGTCATAAGGAAGAAGTCAGAGAAAACAGAATTGTGCAGCATTGCTCTTGCAACAATAACAGAAGCGTATATTCCCAACCCGAAATTTCCTCAACCTTTAACACACTTTTCCCCCGCTCAAGGAATCAGGAAAAAGAGATCTGAGAAACTCATCTGAGGTAGTACAAACCTTAAGTCTTTCCCAAACCACTATATCCGCTGTTCACAAACCGTTAAGTGACAGGTGCAATAGGGTGGATTTTTTTCCATTCTACGAACATACCTCTGCCCATAAATATCGACGAAAACACGTATATCAGACTAAGTCTGAAGAAAAAAGTCACCGTTTCGTTCCCTAAACTACGCAAGCAGTTTGATAAATTGAAGACAGGACACATGTAGTACCTGGCAGCCGAAGCCGAGCGCCGATCCATCACTCTGCCGGCCCTGCCCACCCCGCGCCTTTGGGCACCGCCGGGGAAGCAGAACCCGGACGGGTCCGGACGGCCAGCCCTCCCCTCTCGTTTCAGCCGGAGCCGGCAGCATATCCCGCCCCTTCCCGCCGCTCCACCATCTTTGTTTATGGAAAAGTTTGGCGATCACTCCCCTCAAGCTTTCCCCCTTCCCTCGAGTCCCGCAGCTTTGAGGCGAGGAAGAGAGACTACATCTTCTCGCCCTTGAAAGCAAGCAGAGCCAGAGAGACGTTTCGCCTCGCTAAAGATAAAGCAAATACCTCTGCACAAAAGACAAAGCAACCATTGCCCCGGGCAGCACCGTCGCCCTTGGTAGCGGAGTTCCTCTCACCCGGGGCCAGTGAGGCGAGACCCGCTGGGGCCGCCACGAGAACGACGAAACCAAGATGGCGGCCGTGCGCCACCGAAGTGAGACTACATCTCCCAGCACGTCCTGCGGCAAGCGCGAGGGATAATGGCGCCCGGACACAAGGTCGCGCAGGGCAGGACTACAACTCCCGCGGGGCGCCGCGGCGGGGCGGGGTGCTCGTGGATGGTGGCATAGAGCGCCCGCCTCACCTAAAATGGCGGCGGTGGCGGGAGCGCGCTGAGCGGGTGCCTGGCAGGCGGACGCGCGCTCGCCCCTCCTCCCCTCACTGTCCCGGTGTTGTGGCTCTGGCCGCGGGCGGGGTCTGCGGGGCCGCGGCGAGGGGATCCCGGGGCTGCGAGCCTGGTTGCCGGCCGGTCGCTGGCAGGGGCGGGCGGCGCTAAGTGGCGGCACCCGCTCGAGTAGAGCCGGGCGCTCCGGTCCCTTCGGCAGAAGAAGGCTGCTGTGGGCGGGGGCCGCTCCGGCCCTTTCCCAGCTCGGCGGTGGCTGCGGCTCCGATCTCCATGTCGGACAATCAGAGCTGGAATTCCTCCGGCTCCGAGGAGGACCCCGAGACCGAGCTCGGACTGCCTGTTGAGCTCTGCGGGGTGCTCAGCAAGGTAAGCCGCCTCTGCCCCATTCCTGCGCCCTGCCGCACCCCATCCTCCTCGCTGTCAACCTCGACCGCCCCGGGGGCTCGGGCCGAGGGGCCCGGCGGCGGGGGGGCCGGGCGGCTCCGCGGGCGGCGCTGGCACGGCCGGGGCACCGCCACCTGACGGCGGAGCCGCTGCCAGGCAGAGCCGCGGCGGCGCCAGGCGCCCCCTCCCTCAGCCCCGCCGCCCCCCGCGGCCGGGGGAAGCCTTTCCTCGAGCAGAGCCGCCGTCTCCGCCGCCCCCCGAGCCGCCGGCCGCACGCCGCGGGGCTCCGGCGGCCGCGCCGGGAGGGCGTCTCCCCCGCGCCTCGGGTCCGGCCGGAGCGGCGCCGGGCCTCGGTGTCGCGGCTGCCCGGGAGCTCCCGGAGGCATCTGCAGCCGGTCGTGTCGCCTCGGGAGCAGGCACGGCTTGGGGTGCAAGTATCAAAACAGGGCAATGAAATACTCCTGCGGCAAGAGAAAACGGGAGGAGCGGAAGAGGCAAATGGCTATTTTAAAAAATGGCCCTTTTAAAAATAAACATAGTTATTTTCTCCTTTATCACTGAAAATAAGGTGACTTGCGAGCATGTGTCGGTTTATACTGGGAAATTTTATTCTCAGAAGTACTTTGGAGTAGATTATTGAATTACTTAGTTTTTATACGGATATTTTATTTTTTTTATTACAGAAAGTATATTCAGAATAGCGTTGAAATATCTGTAAGATTAAAGCACTATGTTTTGAATTTTTTTCCTGTCCTACGCGATAAGGCTAGGCACATGCCAACGTAGGAGGCACGGTATACAGAGATCTTACACTGCCCTGAATGCGCAGAAAACAGCCATAACTGAGTTCACACTGTTGTGAGGGACTTTGTGAACTCCTTCCAGCCTGAAAAAGTTTCTAACCCCAGAGACAGGAGGAACGGTCACGAGAAGAGAAGGATCTCGGCTTTCATTTTTAAGATCTTATCTAACAGTGGGTGGGGGAAAGATGGGATGAGTGTGAGATGGTGTTAGAGCAGTTACAGTGAGAGATTTTTGTTTGGTGTACTTTTGCTGTTTTGTTTGCATTTGTTCACAGCGAAGTTTTCCCTAGGTAAGATGCTTCTGTCATTAGGAGAGAAGTGGGATGTAATTAATTTTTGTGTTAGCAAACTAAATACAAAGTCTAGGTGCTGTTTCTCAGTGGTGTAGCAGGTGAAGCCATAGCTTCAGACATTCTAGTTGAGGTATGTGCTAACATTTTACTTTTCTGGATGATTATGCTGAGTGTAGCAGAGACTGTCTTTCCCATGAGAACCTGGAATTTAATCTGAATAGTCAAGTTTGGCGAAACCTGTCACAATGAATATGTTTGAGGGTTAAGGTTACCTTTTGTTAGTTGATACCTCAGTAATTATTGAGGTAAAATAATTAAAATAGAATGGTAGCATACTGAACTTTCTACTTAAGGAAATATCAATTTTTAATAACTTACTGTGTATAGTTCTAAAATCGTAGAAGTAGGCTGCAGTTCACTGTGTACATAGTAGTTTTATTAGTTCTGCCCTTCAGTAAAGAGAAAAGCTATGAAGGAAATGGAGTAGTTTGTAAGAGAAACTTGTTAGAAGTATATCCTGCTGGTCTTTTGAAAAGTTTTGAAACTCTAGGCTTTTTCCATTGTATTTCCTGCTAATGATTTTAAGGTGGATACAAAGAAAGAACTTCAATGGAAGAGGCTTTCAGGAAGCAGAAAATCTAGATGCTTGGAAAAGCACTGGTCTTTTCTCTCGCAAAACCTCGTGCCTACCCAAGTATACTTTAAGGAGCCTCTTAATTCACGAGACATTTGAATTGCAACAGCAAGCTTTGATTGCAACAGCAGATGCAAGATTCACTGCTATAAATGTTGCTTTTAACTTTTTCAGAGACGGAAAGGTGCTTTTCCATGCTTTTTTTTCCCCTGCAAGATAACTTTGGACTCTGCCTTTCACATCCTGGGAGGAGCTGGGAATGTGAGAGATAGGAAAAGAGGAAGGCAGGAAATAATACACCTCTATGACCGCTTGTGCTACCACTTCATGCACTAAGCACACTTGAGGCTTTCTTTAAGTAATGCTGTATTTAGCAATTAGATGTATTAAGAAGTGAGAAAGGGCTTTATATTTGAAGAGCAAATCAAGGTCTTGCTGACATTTGAAAATTGTTAAGAATTTCTCAGTTACAATTTTTTTCCTTAGACATGATCATCTTAGTACTAAAGTTAACATGTAATTATGGAATACGTGTTAACTAATGTATGTACTATGAAGTGGGAATGAGACTGTTAGTTGACTTTTCCCCCTCCTTTTTTAGATTACAAAATGATGAATGATGAATAGACTTAAATGTTAACCCGAGTTTTTCATAAAAGGAAAAATTTTTGCATTTGTCAAAATCAAAAAAATGCTTGCATGATAAGATTAGTTTCAATGGTCTTGTTTCTATTTTTGTCAAATTTGTAACAATTCCACTATGATGAATTAATAAGGATTACTGTATTGTCAGAATTATAGGATAGTCCTGATTTTTTTATCAGTGTCAGATGATTCTATGAAGTTCATGTGATTCTACCAAGTGCAGTCAGAAAGGTGTTGCAAGTATAAGAATAGTAGTCAGAACTTTTGGTCATTTCTTACTAGATCTCTCTAGAATTAATCCAGAATTTGTTCTTGGAATATTGGTTTTATTCAGTGTATGAATATGGAGTCCTTAGAAAAATCTGAATAGCAAAAAATATGATTGTGTGCTGTAACCAAGTATCTTCTTAGTGAAAGTATTTAGAATTAAAACCTAAAGCAGTATCTATGGGCAATATTAAATGAATAAAGCATGGAGTCCTCTAGGCAATACAATAATTATTTACTGTGCTGTGGGATAATGGCATGTTTGTATTTATATGAGGAGAACTTTGTATAATATTTTATATTAAATAAATTATTCTGTGTTCTGCCCAAGTCTTTTGGCCTAGCTCCAGATTTTAAATCAGTTGCCTAAACTCACCGTAGTCATTAATGTTTGGGGTTTTTTTTCCCCCTACCCTGTTTTCCTCAGTTTATATTATCAGTATGTTTATTGCCTCTACTATAACTGGCCTTGGCAGTTCAGTTGAAGTCCAGGCATCTGTTGTCTTATTGACCCTTCAAAACAACTGATTTTTTTGTTGCTTTAGGAGTTTGTAAAATTCTTCTAGGAGCTCTGAGCAGAAAAAAGTTCTCATTTGGGAAGAACTTGTAAAAATAAGTTGCCTTTTTCTTTGGCTGCTCAAAAGCCTAGAAAATATCCATCATTCTTCTTTTATTGTTGTCTTTCCATTGGCTGATCTCTGGAAAATTTTTTTACAGTGGACCAACTACATTCATGGGTGGCAGGATCGATGGGTAGTTCTGAAAAGCAGCACACTCAGTTATTACAAGTCTGAAGATGAAACAGAGTATGGCTGTAGAGGCTCTATCTGTCTGAGCAAGGCTGAGATTACAGTAAGTACAAATTTATTGTTGCCATCATTCATGTTTTGAGGTGCTATATATTTGTGTGTTGAAAGCAAACATGTAAAGTAGTTTTAATTCTTTTAGGTCATCTGCTTATGACAATGGCATCAGTCGAACACTGTGGAGCAGGGCAAGGAGTTTCTAATGCGAAAAAAATTCTTCTAATTTGTGGCTTTGGCAGGCAACTTTTCATTTCTTACATTGGAGGGTTTTGTGGGTGGATGGACTCTCTGCCTTTGAAGGCTGCAAGGTTTTTTTCATGGATCAGTATAAGACCCCAGACCAACTTCCCAGAGGAGGTACCCATCCTTCACAATCTTTGCTCTAGAAATAAGGTGGTGGTTTTGACTTTCTGAAGACAGCTCTGTAGGTTTCCAAAAGAAAATGCTCTTCTCTGTGCTTCTTTCTCTTAACAAGTTAGTGAGTTGCTGTTTTT